CCAGGTCAGGGCCCACTATATTATTATGACTTTGATGCTTTTTAAAGTAAACACTTCCGGCATTTATCAAAAAAAAAATTTTTTTTTTAAGATTTTATTTAGGTATGCCTGGGGTGGTTCGGTTGGTTAAGCATCTGTCTTCGGCTCAGGTAATGATCTTAGGGTCCTGGGATTGAGCCCCATCAGGCTCCTTGCTCAGTGGGGAGTCTGCTTCTCCCTCTGCCTGCCGCTCCCCCTGCTTGTGCTCACGCTCTCTCTGACAAATGAATAAATAAATAATCTTAAAAGAAAGAAATATTTTATTTATTTATTTGAGAGAGAGAAATAGTGAGAAAAAGCATGAGCAGGGGGCAGGGAGAGTTCGGGAAGCAGGTTCTCCGCTGAACAGGGAGCTCAATGCGGGGCTTGATCATGACATGATACCCTGGGATCATGACATGAGCTGAAGGCAGACGCTTAACCAAGCGAGCCACCCAGGCGGCCCTATCCAAATTCTTTTTAATGGTCTTTAGTGAAAGGAAAAAAATGATTTATATTTAAAGAGCCTCCAAGAACCAGAAAGTAGAGTAAGATCTGGATGGTCCCTCTTTCAGTGTCACGGTAAATTAGATGATTGTTCAGCAAATATTCACTTCCACCCAAACTCCATGAGAGGAGTCTACCTCCCAGTTCTTTTGATTTGAACTTGGTCATGTGATTTGCTTTGCCTACTGAGATGTTGACAAAGTGGTGCAAGGAGAGGCTTTAAATGTACTTGTATATTTGGGCCTGCCATCCAGCATCCCAGCATCTCTGCACTACCATGAGAAGAACTTTGCTCAGGAAACTGCTGCCCTTCAGCCTGGGCCCCGGAATGAATACAAATGAGAGCAATCCTGAGCTGAACCCACAGAGGAGACAATCCCAGCTGGATTTGCAGTTTGAAGCAGAGCCCCTCAGATAAGCCCAGTTTAGATATGATGACCCTCAGCTGACCTGCAGCTGCCGGAGAGAAAACAAATGATAATTTATTTTTAAAGATTTTATTTATTTATTTGACAGAGAGAGACACAGTGAGAGAGGGAACACAAGCAGGGGGAGTGGGAGAGGGAGAAGCAGGCTTCCCGCAGAGCAGGGAGCCCGATGCAGGGCTCGATCCCAGGACCCTGGAATCATGACCTGAGCCGAAGGCAGATGCTTAACGACTGAGCCACCCAGGCGCCCCCAAATGATAATTCTTTTAAGACGCTGAGTTTTGGGGGTAATTTATTTCACAGCACTTTTGTGGCAATAGCTAATCAGACAAGTAGCCTAGCAAGAAGCTGGCACCAGCTTGTTTGTGTTTTACAACACAAAAAAAAGGCCATTATCAGAACCTGAGCTCCAGAAGCTTTTCTTTGCTGACTGACAGTCATTCCCAACCAGGAGGTTCTCGTTATGCATAATTGCCTAGATGTCCCCCCGGTCCCCCAATCCCATTCTCTGTATGTACTTAAAACATGACAGGAGTGTGGTCCTGGGATCACCCCTCCCCCACCACACACACTTTTTTGCAAGGGTATACCAGTCTATTCATGCCAGGCTTAAATTAAGCAAATGTCTGTGTAAGATAACGAGGAATGTTACCTTGCTGCATCTCCAGTATGTTCTCCCCACCAAATCTTATTTTGCATGTACACTATCCAGCACTTAGTGATATGTGTGCAAGGAAAGGTTGGTCAGAATCATCTTTTTTTTTTTAAGATTTTATTTATTTATTTGACATAGAGAGAGAGAGAGACCGCGAGAGAGGGAGAAGCAGGCTTTCCGCCGAGCAGGGAGCCCGATGTGGGGCTCGATCCCAGGACCCTGGGATCATGACTTGAGCCGAAGGCAGACGCTTAACGACTGAGCCACCCAGGCGCCCCTGGTCAAAATCATGTTCCTTGCTATTACTGAAAGCCAGAAATCCCACAGGGTTAAAAAACCCATTCCCCAAACTTAGCCAATTTCACTGTTTTTTTTGTCATGTGCATTTTTATTTTATTTATTTATTTGAGAGAGAGAATGAGAGATAGAAAGCACGAGAGGGAAGAGGGTCAGAGGGAGAAGCAGACTCCCTGCTGAGCAGGGAGCCGGATGCGGGACTCAATCCTGGGACTCCAGGATCATGACCTGAGCCGAAGGCAGTCGCTTAACCAACTGAGTCACCCAGGCACCCATGTCTTGTGCATTTTTTAAATCATTTCCGATTGTTATTGCTGATATATAGATGAATGCTATTGATTTTGTAGGTTGATGATGAATCCAACAACCTTGCTGAAATCTCTTTCTTTTTCATTGTTTGTTCATATATTCTCTGGAATCTCTCCACTGACAATCATAATATCTGTATATAATGAGAGTTGTTCTCGTTCTTCCTAGTTGTTGTAGCTCGTTTCCTTTTTATGTCTTTTTACATTGGCTACACCCTCCAGTTTGACATTAAATAGTAACTATGGTAATAGTGAACGTTCTTGTCATGTTTTAAAGAAAATGCTTTTGAAATTCCCCCATTAAGTGTAATTTTTGCTGTAGGTTTCTAGTGGATTAAGGAAGTTCCCTTTTATTCCTAGTTTGCAAAAATGTAAATTTTAATCATTGAGCATTGACTCTTACTGAAAGCTTTTTCTGCATCTATTAGAATGATCATATGTACTTTCTATTTTAATCTGTGGATTTGGTAAATTATACTGTATTTATCTCTGTAAGTGGAAAAGTTGAGTAAGAAAAGTTGAGTAAGAGAGATATTATCTATTTCTTGAATGATTGCAAAATATTAGTGTCTGCAAAATATTAGTGTCTTTCAGGAGCGGAAACCTGACTACTAATTCAATTCTTTGATGAGTATGTCCTTGAATAACAATTGTTTTCATTGTGAAACATATCACACAAAGGAGTACAAAATGTATTTGCATCTCTTAAAAATAATACTAACATGAACACCTGTGTGTCTACAGGATCCATCAAGAAACACACCAGCACCAAGTTCTCTGCATAACCCTCTCAGGTCATGGACCTTTTTCTCCCCATAGAGATAACTGAGTGCTGAGTTTTGTATAAAACATTTCCTTGTTTTTCTTTGTAATTTTTTTTTAAGATTTTATTTATTTATTTGACAGAGAGAGACACAGCGAGAGAGGGAACACAAGCAGGGGGAGTGGGAGAGGGAGAGGCAGGCTTCCCGCCAAGCAGGGAGCCTGATGCGGGGCTCGATCCCAGGACCCTGGGACCATGACCTGAACCGAAGGCAGACGCTTAACAACTGAGCCACCCAGGTGCCCCTTTCTTTGTAATTTTAACTCTATGTATCTCTGGGCAATATTATTTAGTTCTGCCTATTTTTAAACTTTGTATAAAATGTATCATATTGTTAATTGTTACATGTATTCATCTGTGACTTTCTTCCTTTGCCCTATATTTTGTTTCTGGGAAAATCATTCTTTGAGGGGCACCAGGCTGACTCAGTCAGGAAAGCATGTGATTCTTAATCTCAGGGTTATGAGTTCAAGCCCCCCGGGGGCATAGAGCCCACTTAAAAAGAGAAAATCAGGGGTGCCTGGGTGGCACAGTTGGTTGGGTGTCTGCCTTCAGCTCCGGTCATAGTCCCAGGGTCCTGGGATCGAGCTGTCCGTCCGGCTCCCTGCTGAGTGGGGAACCTGCTTCTCCCTCTCCTTCTGCCTGCCACCCCCCCCACTTGTGCTCTCTCTCTCAAATAAATAAATAAAATCTTCTTTAAAAAAAAAGAGAAAAAGTTCTCTGAAATTGAAATGCGTAGCTGTTGTCCTCTTTTTTTTTTTTCCTGTAGAGTATTACACCATATTAAACTACCCTTATCCATTCTACTGTGATTGACATTTGGGTTGTTTCCAGTGCTTTTGCTTTTGCAACTAATGCTGTCATTGAGTCTCCTGGCATAACGGGTGTCAGATTTATACACACTCATTTGTACATACACCCCCCTCCCCCCCCGCCCAGGAGTGGAACTGTTTGGTTGTAGGGTAACATATCAACGGGTCATTTGTATTTCCTCTTAAATGAGTGATTTAAAAAAATATTAAGGCAGCAAACTACAGCGTGTGGGCCAGCTACCTATTTTGCTACCTATTTTGGTCAATAAAGTTTCATTGGAACCAGGGCCAGGATTAGGGGAAAGGAATTGAGGCAGGGTTTTCTAAATTTAGTGTTGGATCTTCTAATTTTTATTGTAATATTTTGCTCATCGTGGAATTTTTTGCCTTAATTTTGATTTTAAAAAATGTTACATCAGGGGCGCCTGGGTGGCTCAGTTGGTTAAGCGACTGCCTTCGGCTCAGGTCATGATCCTGGAGTCCCGGGATCGAGTCCCATATCGGCTCCCTGCTCAGCAGGGAGTCTGCTTCTCCCTCTGACCCTCTCTCCTCTCGTGCTCTCTATCTCTCATTCTCTCTCTCTCAAATAAATAAATAAAATCTTTAAAAAAAATGTTACATCAAGGTATTATTTACCTTGATTCCTACATCTTTTGGTGTTTGCTTAAATTTTGTTTGTTTTCTTTTTTAAAGATTTTATTTATTTATTTGACAGAGAGAGACACAGCGAGAGAGGGAACACAAGCAGGGGGAGTGGGAGAGGGAGAAGCAAGCTTCCCGCAGAGCAGGGAGCCCGATGCGGGGCTCAATCCCAGGACCCTGGGATCATGACCTGAGCCGAAGGCAGATGCCCAATGACTGAGCCACCCAGGCGCCCCTAGATATCTTTTAAATAGCAGAACACAAAGGGAAGTGTTTCAAGTAGTTTGTCTACATGAGTGAGAAAGAATAGGCAGCTGTATTAATTCGCTAGGGCTGCCATAGCAAAGTACCACCGACTGTGTGACTCAAACAACAGGAATTTATTTTCCTACAATTCTGGAGGCTGGAAGTACAAGATCAAGGTGGTGGCAGAGTTGGTTTCTTCTCAGGCCTCTCTCCTTGGCTTGTATGTGGCCCTCTGTTCCCCATGTTTTCCCTCGGTGTGTCAGTGCTTGCTTAAATTTTGTGCCCAAAGTGAAGGCCTCCATTGCCTAACCCTAGTCCCAGCCCTGCCCTAGTCTAAGCCACTTATCATCTCCATGCTGTACTTCTGCAATAGCATCCAAACTGGTCTCTCCACTTACACATTTGCCACTTACCTTCGATCCATTCTCTACAGGGTAGCCACTCTGACCTTTTGGAAAGACAGATTGATTTATGTTACTCCTCTGCTCCAAACTGTTCAATTGTCTCTTACTCTAATTAGAATAAAGTCCAAATTCCACGTAGAACCCCAGATAATCTGGATTTTGCCTTCTTCCCTAACCTCATCTACTACCGCTCTGCTTTTGAATGCCCTAGCCTCACTGGCTAACTTTCCATTTCTGGAATATGCTAACTCATTCCTGCCTCCTGGCCTGACACAGGCAATTCTTTTTTTTTTTAAAAGATTTTATTTATTTGATAGAGAGAGACACAGCGAGAGAGGGAACACAAGCAGTGGGAGTGGGAGAGGGAGAGGGAGAAACAGGCTCCCCGCCGAGCAGGGAGTCCTATGCAGGGCTCGATCCCAGGACCCTGGGATCATGACCCGAGCCGAAGGCAGACGCTTAATGACTGAGCCACCCAGGCGCCTCCACAGGCAATTCTTTAAACGGGTGATCCTTTCTAACCTTTAAATTTTAGATTAAGTTATCTCTTGAGAGAGGCTTTCCAATCTAAAGTAAATCTCCTCCTGATAGTTCTATTGTTCTGTTCTTTTTCCTTCCTAATATTTTGCCAACACAGAAGTAGAGTTTTATTTGCTTATTACTTGGTTTCCTTGTTCTGTCTTCCCTTTTTAAGCCCAACATCTTTGAGGGGTTTAGTGCTTTCCTCCCTACCAACACTCAATACTTAGCACTCCACTACTCACTAAATAATTAAAATGAAGGAGAAAAGATAAAACTCAGAGTAAAAGGGTTTTTGGGAAAGAAAGGGCCCCCAAAGAAAGTGGTATTGATATTCATTAATATTAAAGCAATCTGGCCATGACAAGGGACATAAAACTGATCATTTCCTTTGACCCAGTAGGTTTACATTTGAGACTATACCCCAATAGTAACTTGGAAATTTTATTTATTTAAAATATCCACATATTAATAATTTATGAAGGTTGACAAAATTGGAAACAACCCATAGTGCTGGCTGCCCATTAACCCTTCCCTGTTTTCACTCTCTTCAGCCTGGATAGGCCCACCTATACACTCTGCTGCTGTGTAGAACCCAAGTACATAAGCACTGTTAGAAAAAAATCACTAAGTTGGACAAAATACAATTACCATAATTTTCAAGTTCACCAATTTCAAATGTGCAATCGTTACTTCTCTGCAATCCTGTAGTTCCTTCAATGAAGCTGTTTTCATTCTCTCCAGATGTTGTTTAAATGTTCACTGTTCTTCTCTTATCAAAGGAGTCACCATCTGCAAGGCCATTTAGATCAGAAAATCCAAGAGCCATTTATGAGCACACTTCCCTTACCCAGTTCATCACCAAGGCGAAAGGAATCTCCCCCCCCCCCCAAGATGTATTTATTTATTTCAGTGAGAGACAGAGAGAGTAGGGGAGAGGGGCAGAGGAAGAGGGAGAGAGACACCCAAGCAGACACCCAGCTGAGTGAGAGCACAGAGCCCAGTGGGGCTCAATCACACAAGCCCAAGATCAGACCTGAGCTGAAACCAAGAGTCGGACTTCACCAGCCCAGTGCTCCCCAAGGATATCTTGAATTCATTACCTCTTTGCTATCTTAACTGTCACCCCAATCAGAACCACCATCTTGATGCCTGAAATGTTCTTTAAATTACTTGCTCTATTTTCACTCCTGCTTTTCTCCTATCCATTCTCCACACAGTGGAGTGTTCTTCTATTTTTTAAAAAAATGCTTACAAGGAATTCATATACATAACAATAAACCAATAGAGCAGTTTATAAAGAAAAAGTTATATTCTCCCCCCACCCCTTTCCAGTTGCAATCCCAAGGTAACCAACCACACAGTAAATATTTGATGTGTATGTATCTTCCTATTCTTTTTCTGTGCTGAATGAGAATGTATTCACATATTTTTGGATTCTTTTTTATTTCTAAAAAATGAATTACATTATATACCATATATTGTATTGTAATTTACTTTTTTTTTTTAAGATTTATTTTAGAGGAAGAGAGAGCATGCCCATGCATGCATGTATGCATGGACATGAGCAGTGGGGAGGGGTAGAGGGAGAGGGAAAGAGAGAATCCTAGGCAGGCTCCACGACCAGCCCAGAGCCCAACAGGGGGCTTTGATTCCACAACCCTGAGATCATGACCTGAGCTGAAATCAAGAGTCGGAGGCTTAACCGACTGAGCCACACAGGTGTCACAACTTACTTATTCTTTTTTTTTTTTAAGATTTTACTTATTTATTTGAGAGAGAGAGAAAGGGAGAGACAGAGCATGAGCAGAGGGGGAGGGGGAGGAGGGGCGAGGGAGCAGGAGAAGCAAGGCTCCCTGCTGAGCAGAGAGCTTGATATGGGGCTTGATCCCAGGGTCCTGGGATCATGACCTGAGCCAAAGGCAGCGCTTAATCGACTGAGCCACCCAGACACCACTCTCTTTCTCTTTTTTAGATAGCTCTGTAATATTCCAGAGAATGGAAGTATGAAATTTAAATTAATAAGTTTCCCAGTGATGGACATTCAGTAGCATGGTCTTTTAAAAATGTAAATCAGATCATGCCTTTTTCTTTCAAAGGCTTTCCTTTGCCCACAGAATAAGATTTACATTTCCTACAATGGCCTAAAAGGCCCTGGATGATCTGGTGCTTGCCTCTCATTAAATTCACCTTCCACCACTCCTCTCCTTGCTCACTATACCCCATACTAACTAGCCTTCTGGGAAGGTTTTTTTCCCACCTCATGGTCCCTGCATTTTTTCTTCTCTTCCTCTATAAAGATCTTCCCTATCCTCTACCCCAATAATCAAAATTGGGTTCCCCTTTTATACTTTCTCATAACATCTTATAAAAACCTTCACAGAATTCATTGTCAGTTATAATCATATATAGGAAATTATATTTATATATCCGATTATTATTTCATCTCTGCCTCATCTACTAGGCACCATGTATTAGGACATATACAGTGTTTTGCTGACCTCTGATTTACTGTGCTACCAGCACCTAACACAACGTTTGAAGGTAGAAAACATTTTTTTTAAGATTTTATTTATAAGATTTTATTAATTTATTTGACAGACAGAGAGAGAGAGAGCACAAGTAGGCAGAGCAGCAGGCAGAGGGAGAGGGAGAAGCAGGCTCCCCGCTGAGCAGGGAGCCCAATGCAGGACTCGATCCCAGGACCCTGATATCATGACCTGAGCCGAAGGCAGACACTGAACCACTGAGCCACCCAGGCGCCCCAGTAGAAAACACTTCCTGCATGAATAGATGATAGATCCCACATTGAGGAATCATTAAGCAAGTCGGGTAATAGAATTTTTTTTTAAGATTTATTTATTTATTTATTTGACACACAGAGAGAGAGAGAGAGAGAGAGAGAGAGAGCGAGCGCGTGCACACAGGCAGAGGGAGAGGGAGAAGCAGGCTCCCCGCTGGGCAGGGAGCCCAATGTGGGGCTCGATCCCAGGACCCTGGGATCACGATCTGATCCAAAGGCAGATGCTTAACCGACTGAGCCACCCAGGCGCCCCTCAAGTCAGGTAATAGAATTCAAAGTAAATTAACTTTTATTTTATTTTTTTTAAAGATTTTTATTTATTTTTGACAGACAGAGAGAGATAGCGAGAGAGGGAACACAAGCAGGGGGAGTGGGAGAGGGAGAAGCAGTCTTCCCACTGAGCAGGGAGCCTGATGTGGGGCTTGATCCCAGGACCCCGGGATCATGACTTGAGCCGAAGGCAGACGCTTAACGACTGAGCCACCCAGGCGCCCCATAAATTAACTTTTTTAAAATGACATGAGAATTACATGTTATATGGATAAACCTAAATGAAATGATATACATATATAGATACACATATGTGAAAACTTGGTAATATAAAGCAGTAAAAGGAGGACTGGCATGAGAGGGCACTAATTTGTTAGCAACCTAGGAAATGGCACTTCTCCCCTGGTAGTCTCCATCAATGAACTACCCTCAGCAGGTGTGGTATTGCCCCTAGTGTTGCATACTCTAGGAGGTATTACTGGCCTTTAGAGAGCAGAGGCCCGGAACCGAGGCTTCTTGAAAAACGTGGGCCTGTTCCTCAATGAAAAATTTTGTGTTCCTCACAATTCTGAAAGGCCCCAGTGTAGGGAAAAACCTGTGTATGACTATCTGTACCCAAAACCTGACCTATTTTACATATGAACACAAAGCTGTTTTTTATTTTTACATAATTATAACAGCAGACATTTTAGGAATGTATCTACAGTGGACACTGAGGACAGATTAATGTTGTTCACCAGAGGCGGCCGAAAACACCATACCTGTGTCAGTTGTAGCTTTCACATTCATGGGGATTTCACTTATAAGTGTAGCCACTTGATTTATGACTTGATTATATTTTCTAGAATGGTTATGCCTGAACATTTATATTGAAACAGAAATCACTGTATTATAAATTACTTCCTTTACACTTTTTATATTATATTTTATATTTGATTTAAACCCAAATCATGCATGTATGCAGGTTATATTATCTATGAATTTCATTTTAGGTTAATAAAGGGAGACATTATGAAAGTATTTGTCATTTAAAAAAGGTGTGTTGGGTTAAAACAAGGTTGTGAAACATTGATTTAAATAGATGAGGACTAAGATCCCTTTTAGTTCTTAATGCAATGGACCCTTATCTTTAATAATGTAAAGGATTCCTTTTATTTTGTTCTTTTCATGACTTTATGTTATAAAACTGGTAATATAAAAAATAAACACATTTAAAAAAACACGTCTCCTACACCAAATGTTTTTAGATGGTTACCTAAAGGTGAGTCCGAATGGTTTCTCGAAGGTTTCCTTGCTAGATAATAATTTCATGATTCTAAAATTTCAAATTTATGGTTGTGAGTTTATCACATGCTTTAAATTTTCACCAAGTAATTGTTGTCTCTAGGCTTGATAGTGAAGAGACTGAAACACAAAGAACCAATGTATTAAAAAAAAATGAAATGAAGGTTTCTCACTATGAGATTAGGTTCACAGATTTAAAATTGCAACCTCTTGGGAGCCTGGGTGGCTCAGTTGGTTAAACGACTGCCTTTGGAGCGACTGCCTTCGGCTCAGGTCATGATCCTGGAGTCCCGGGATCGAGTCCCACATCGGGCTCCCTGCACAGCAGGGAGTCTGCTTCGCCCTCTGACCCTCCCCCCTCTCATGTGCTCTCTCTCTCATTCTCGCTCTCTCAAATAAATAAATAAAATCTTTAAAAAAAAATAAAATTGCAACCTCTTCCCTTATTCCCCAACTATTTTAAATTTTTCATCTGTTATGATATACTATGCATTTTAATCATATATTTTGTTTTTATTTTTTAAGAGTTTATTTATTTATTTGACAGAGACAGACAGCGAGAGAGAACACAAGCAGGGGGAGTGGGAAAGGGAGAAGCAGGCTTCCCGCCTAGCAGGGAGCCGGATGCGGGGCTCGATCCCAGGACCCTGGTATCATGACCTAAGCCGAAGGCAGACGCTCAACTACTGAGCCACCCAGGCGCCCCTTAATCATATATTTTAAAAATTGATTTCGTCCTTCCCCTTTTCCTTCACCCCGAGACAGCTAGAATAGATACAGGAATTCTTAGAGTACAAACAGGGAATTTTGTGTTTTACTCACCAGCGTCTTTCCATTTATCAAACAGTGCCAGACACACAGGATGAGCTCAGTGAATATTTATTGTATGAATGGGCGAAGAATACACGCAATAAGCAAAACTGAGTGCTTCGAGCGCCCCTTTCACCAGAGTCCTAGGAGACAAGCGGGAGTCACCAGGAACTTGATTTTTGTGATTGGGGATTCCTCGGCGTTCGTACGGATTGAGAGTACTTTTTTACATTCTTTAGGATGTACTGATGTGTGGTGGTTTGTGAACTTCATGCACAGAGCTGTACACAGGTAGAACACCAAACTAACTTGCATCGAAGTCCACGTAATCTCAAATTTGTATCATCAGAAACCCGTTTTTGTAAGTGCACGGGTCTATCGTTCTCTCGTGCATCTGTACAGGACAATCTGGGATACTTCACCGGAGATTAACGCTGAGGAGGGGATCAAGGTTGGTGGCTCTGAAATGAGCAAGCAGGGGAAACGACTTAACGCTCACTTTTCGCAAACAGACGCCAATTCAGAATCAAATTCTCACCCTAGATCAAATCCCGCGCTCCTCCTACCGGCAACCTACCTCCACCCCGCCCCCTTTGATACCTATGGTGGGCGGGGCAGAGAGGAGCCGTTCCCGGCTCCCCCCAAATTGGTTAAACTTGCCCGAGTTCTGTTATCCCATTTCTGAGCAAACACAGAGGAAACGGAGCAGCCAACGAAGACCGTCGACCAAATGACAGCGGAGCTTCACAGGCGGACCGAGAACGAAGCAAAACACGAAGAAAGGCAGTAATCTAGCTGCCACGTGAGGCGCGCGATCCCGTCCGCCCTCCGAGCGAGAACTTCAACTCCCGGCTTGCAGCTGGGCGGTTATCCTCCGCGGACTATAATTCCCAGGGTGCTGCGGGAGCGACCGCCCGCCTCTCCTCCTGCTCCTCCCCCGCCCCTCCCGGCCGGATCGGCGTGCGCCTGCGCACCGGAGGCCGGAGGAGTCTTACCCTAATGTAAGATGGTGGCCCGTCTGGCTGTGGAACCCACCGAAAACTGAGAGTCTGTATCTCAGCCGTAAAGGTCGGACTCGCTGAAGCAATCAGGCCCGGTTCTGAAGAGTTTTTCCCCCGACACTCGTTCAGTGGTCTCTTGTGAGGACACGGCAGCGCGTGGAGTCGGCTAAGGGAAAAGCGAGGCAAGGCAGGCGGGTGAGTGTATGCGGGGCTGGGCTTACGGGAAACCCGGGGCTGACCGGCTACGAGAGAGCGGAGGCTTCGCTGGGACTGTGCAGGCCGCACCCCCCTTTCTCCCCACCCCCCGCCTCATCTTCACCCTCCTCCTTCTTGGTCTTCCTCCTCCTCCTCTTCTTCTTCCCTCTCCCCTCTACGCCACAGCAGTTTACCACCAGGAAAAGGGAGCCGGGCAGAAGGCGGCGCGGCGGCGAGCACCGACTCCTTGGAAAATTTCCTCAATTGGGGAGCCGAGGCGGATTCTCGTCTCCAGCTCTCTTCCCTACGTTTCTGTAGGGGCAGAAATCTTGGGTCTCGGTACTCCCTTGTTTCCCCAGCCCTCTCTCCCCTCCCTGACGTCCTTGTCCCGGTCTCCCTAGACCCAAGCCATCCCTTCCACTCTGACCCGAGTTGCTGCTGCTCATCAGTCCCACTACTCATTGCCCACTCGTCCTGCTGTTTGTTTTTTGCTCCACTGCTACCACTCTGGAGTTAGCCTTTGCCCCCCTCCGGTGCTTGCAGTCAGCCCCTACTCTATCGGCCACACTGGCGCTTCTTCCGATTTGCAGTCGTTCCTTTAACCACATCTGTCATTTTAAAAGCTACCCCTTAAGTATCTAGATTATGCGGCTGCTCGTTCTAACCCACCTGTTTCCCAGCTTTCTTGGGAATTGTCTGTTCCTTCCGTCTTTTCTATCCAGATTCTTTCAACATACACTTCCAGAAAAAAAGGGATGCCCCGTGTTGGCCCCTGAAAAGTCAAGTTGGGAAGTGAATTGAGTGAGGTAGGATACTCTTAAACGTTATGAGTGGAGATCATTTATTCAGGCTCCTCGGGAGAAGAACGTTTTCTTTTGGCTTTCAGGGATCTATTTGTGGATTTTTCGCTCTGTTGGGACGTGGGGGTTTTTTGTGTGGTGGTTTCCCCCCCCTTCCCTTCTATTTTTGACTGGCTTCTCCCTGCTACTAAGCATTCTACTTAATTACCTTTCCCCGGGACACTTAATGTGAACTCTGATTATACCAACAAATATTAGCCTAGGCGTTTCAAAATAAGATAAATCTGGCATACAACCAAATTAATCTGTGAACTCCACAAGAAGATATGAGATTTTTATTAATCTGCTGGTTATATGTGGGTTACAGATCCTTTCCATATTGAAAATTGATTATTGACTGAGTTATATTGAGGATCGGCTTAATTGATGACACATTTATGGTTCGGGTGGAAATTTCCTTTCCAGCCAATATCAGACTTACTTAGTATTTTTGGATTTGGGAAGTTCTCTCTTTTAACATAAATTGTCTTCTCTCGAAAATTCATTAGGTATGTATGCAAAAGAAAAATGAATTTTTTTTTCCTCCAAAAGTAAATCCCCATTTTTTTCCACAGAAAAGAAGGGGGTTGGGAAAAGAAATGACAAAGCTGTGCTCTTGTATGCATTTGTTGGCACTCACTGTCATTATTATCTACATTAAAAAGCAGAAAACTAGGAGCAAGGGGTGGCTGACGATGTCCATTTTTTGATGAAAGCAAAATTGAAATGCCCTGACTAATGGTATGAGGAGCCTGTAATCACACCAGTGTGAAATAAAGAATTATCAGAAAAACAAACAGGATTACATAGATCAGATACGTATATTTCAGCATTTCAACTTTAAACATAAATAAGACACTGTGTTGTATGTAAAAATGTTAAAAGTCACAGTAGCAATTTCATGCATCAGTATACCTCTTGCAAAAGTAATAATACCTTAAGTGTAAATACAAATACATACAGTTACCCTTTTAATCACTTTTTCACATTGCTGTATTTTGATTTTTATAAATTTTATCTGTAATACTTGAGGAATCTTCATTTGGCATTCTATTTACTTGATTGTGATAAATGATCTGCTTTATCAAATATAAACCAAGGTTAGAAAAGCTGTTTATAAAATTTCCTTCTTCTTTTAGCCACTTAAGCCCCAATTTGGAGAAACTAAATAAATCCCTACTCTTTGAGACTTGTAAGCAATTTCTATAGCAAGACTTGTCCTGAGTTATAACTTGAGGTTTTTCTTTAAAAAATTACTTATATTTAGTTTATCAGTAGGAACATGTTTAATACAATTGGTCTTCAACTCTAAGTAAAAGCATCTATCGTTTTCTTTTGTCATACACTGGTGGAGAAGCTTTCCACTTTGTACCTGCAAATAATACCAACACACAGGTTTAGGAAACCCTTGGCAGTCATACTTGGCTGATTTGTAAGCAGTGTGTTCTAGGAGAGGACTGTTCGGCAGAAAAGTGTAAATGATTTTAATACATCTTTTGTAAAGATATTTTAGCTCACTAAATATATTCTCAAGTAATTTTCTTCACTCTACACTTTTCTCTTGCAATCATTAGATTCTTAGTTTCTGCACTTTAAAGTCAAAATGAATTTACTTTGGGATCTTTAGTACATTTGAAGGAGGTATTTAAATTTTTTTTGACATTTTGATAAATTGGGAGCTGTAATTTCAGAATGTTTGTGTATCATTTAAGTTTTTAGATATAACTTGAAGAACATTGCAACTTCATACTTCCGTGGATTTGGTTTGTTCTTTTTTGTGATAGATTGGAATACTTTCTGCCAGGTTCAATAGTTGAATTCTTTAGATGAATAGATGATTTCTATAGGAAGGTTTACTTTAAAGTTACTTTAAATTAACTTATTTTAAATTAACTTATTATATAAAATTTGTTTCCATAAAATTGCATAGACAGGTCTTTAATTTTATTAGGATGAGATAGTTAATAATCAAATCACAAAATGCAGGAAAAGAAAATTTTGTACTGTCCTTCAGCTTCACTGGCAATAACTTTCAACTCATTGCTTTGTAAAGGAGAGTGTTGCTTAAGGATGAACTTCTTTCATTAGGGGAATTTTATTTTAAAAATGATTTTAAATGGCTTAAGAGAACGAAGAAAACATTTTCTCAAGGCTTCCCTTTTCTTCCCTACTTCTGGTTTTAAGATGAAGCTACACTCTTCATTTTACTGTGTGTGTGCACGTGTGTCTTGTACCTGCAAATAATACTCAATTGAATCTATTTCAATTCATGTTATTATTTTTATAGACCATTGAAGTGAAATAGAAAGTTTTAATTTGTTAAAACTTCAGCCTCTGCTGAAAATTCAGTTAGCTTTCTGTCATTAAGTGTAGTCTTGACATTTTGTGAAGGAAGATACATTTAGCTCAGGTGGTTCCAAAGAAAAACTGTAGGGAAATAGGTTATAGAGATTTTTCGTGTTCTAGAAGTAGTATAACTAGAATGTACCACATACTATTCTCAAAGGATTTCTTAATCTAAGTGGAGCTTGTAAATGGTTTTTATCCCACTGGAATAGCATGTATTGGATAAAACAACACATTCTGAGATTTAAAAAATTTTATGTACTTAAGAGATATTAAGAAAAATCTGCAAATGCCCATTCTTATATATAAAATGTGTCAATATGTTAATATCCTTGATATCCTAAAGATGGTTCTTTTTTTTTTTTTTAAGATTTTATTTATTTGAGAGAGAGAGAAAGAGAGACAGAGAGTATGAGAGGGAGGAGGGTCAGAGGGAGAAGCAGACTCCCCTCCGAGCGGGGAGCCCGATGCGGGACTCGATTCCGGGACTCCAGGATCATGACCTGAGCCGAAAGCAGTTGTCCAACCAACTGAGCCACCCAGGCGCCCCACCTAAAGATAGTTCTAAATATTTTTTTCTTGGAAGTTGAGATTATACAAATTATAAAGATGGCATAATTTACTCAATCATGTAGTGATGCAAAGAAAGAAGATAAGTGGGGCTTTTTAATCACATATTTAGTGGTTTTCTGAAAGAACTTTTTTCCAAATTGCTTTTAATCTTATTATGTGGTCTTTATTAGAAAAGAGTGTGTGGTAAGTGTTAACTTTTTTATTTTTTATTTTTTTAAAGATTTTATTTATTTATTTGAGAGAGAGAGAATGAGACAGAGAGCATGAGAGGGGGGAGGGTCAGAGGGAGAAGCAGACTCCCTGCTGATCAGAGAGCCCGATGTGGGACTCGATCCCGGGACTCCAGGATCATGACCTGAGCTGACGGCAGTCGCTTAACCAACTGAGCCACCCAGGCGCCCAGTGTTAACTTTTTTAAACGTAGTAATATAATTCAGTGGGTTTTGTCACATTTCTTTTTCATGGTATAATTCTTTTACTTTTTAATCAGAAATTAGTTTATGGAAGAGAAAATTTAAACACTGTTTTGGCCCTTGGATTAGCTTTCCCATAGCATTTTTTTTTTTTTTCCATGAGAAGGGGAGAACATCGATGCTACCAAAAAAATGATGATTACTTGTACTTGCTAGAAAAAGTTAATTTTCAAGATAGTACAAGTACAAGGGAATTTGAGGATGAGTTTATTTTTCTCCTAAGAACTGTATTTGTGAGGAAGGTTTTGTTCTTACTAAACTCTGTTTATGCAAGAGTGTTGTCCTGTTTTAAACTTTAATTGCATTGGGTGATGAGGAGATGATACGTTGCTATGAGGATAAACCTTGTTATTTGTTTATGTGTCAGATATCGTTTCAAAAACAAATATTTTTTTTAGGTATGGCAACTAAAGTCTTACCTCTTGAGTCTTCAGAGACAGTATGGGGAGGGAAAATCAAAATAATCATATTGTTTTATTTCTAAAACCAGTCTGGAAAAAAAATAAGTCAGGGCAAAATAAGCAGTGTAATTAGAAGAATAAAATGCCAGCATTTAAAGGTAGCTGGTGTTGCATTCCTGCTTTTGGAAGAAGTTAATGAATGATGTTGTAGGGAAAATACTGATTGAAATTTTAAAAGTAGCTGTAGACTGAAGTATCGGAGGGGTGGAGCATTCCTTAGCAGCTACAAACAGATACATTGTCATTAAGCCAAATATCTGAAATTTCTTAACCATGTTTTTCAGTCTTTGGAATAAAGAGGAAGTGCT